GGTTGCCGGTTTCCATAAGTGAACAGCTTTTCGTGAATATGGGATTTACAACATTTACTGTTCACCGCATGCGTACAATAAAAATTAGGAAATATGGTTCAATTTAAGAATACTGTTTGATTTAGCCCATTTGAGCGTTTACACGGAGCAAGCCCTACTGATGATGTTGAGTTTTGGTTTACCATTTTGTAGTTCATTGATTCCCCACATATCGGTTATATTTATTAGCCACAGAAATCTCCGTAATGACCGACAAAAAGTGAAAACAGCTGTTCCAACTGTGCTTTCTACCGTACAAAAATTACCGGTCCTACCGAATTCACCCGTGCAGCTCGTCTTCAATATACTTTAGTACTAAATGTAAACGGTGGTGGACAGTTAAGTGTTGGCAGAAGTACGTAATATATTCCCGCATCTTGGAAAATCATTCTGTATATCTCGCAATGTGACAGAAACATACAACCCACGGCATCACGCCAAGATGCAGTCTATCAGTGAAACCAGCAGTCTAATCAAGATTATTTGGTATGCATCAATTTCTTGAAATTTCCCCGAAAACATCACGAATTTAACCAAATGACTTGTCGACATGGAAAGGGTTGAAACATTTGAGTCTGCGAATATTTACACAGTCCCAAAAATACCAACCGAAAAGTATGGAGCCACCGGACCATGGTGTCTGTTTTCTTTGGGTTTTTGTGTAAAACTCTCATGGAGTGATGAGCAGCCCAGCCGTGTATGTATGTAAATTCAACTGACCGTTAGTGACACTGCCGGAAAGCGCACAATTTTTTATGACGGGCTTGACCATGAAGTAGAATTAGTCTCAGTGTTTCACTACAGTTGAAAAGTTGCGCACAGTATACGACAATGAGATCAGTTCTGCTTGAAGGTTGTAAAGCCCTGAATTTTCTTATACTGATCAAAGATTATGGTGTTTAAACAGTATTTGAGCAGCTTGAACCAAGTAGGATAAAGCGAGCGGGTAAACAACTCGTAGGTGAGCCGTTTTATACATTAAAGGTTGCAGCGGAAAATGATTCTTTTAATAATTTTTATTACACATCCTTCTGAGATGAACAGTAGACGGAGTAAACCCAACATTCAGGAGGACCCACTGTTCACTCATGGAAACGGGCAACGAAAGCTCGGACTTGAAGTAGCGAACCACAAGGCTTCCTAGGGTAGGTGTGATATTGAGCCAGATGACAGTTGTTGCCCATCGATAAAGGTTTTTTTATTACACACCTAAGTGTGATGAACAGCAGACGGGGCGAACCCCATGGTCACGAAGACTTGCTGCTTCGTTATGAACTAAGCCCCGGGGTCTGGAGTGGCGAACCACTTAAGGCTCCGATAGGTTAGGCGTGGTATTGAACCGGACGACAGCGAAGCTGCCTACCACCAAAGAGAGAAAATCTACTGCTCCTACTATTCTTCTACGAACTTTAAAACCGTTTTTCACAAAATTCAAAAGTATAGTCATTGGGCTCCAAAAAGATGGTGGCTTCCGGTTCATTAATTCCGTTACAATATTTCGGGAACCTATTGAATATTATATTGGTATTATCTGAGAATAGNAATAGATAACAAGGAATAAAAATCAACGTACTTCGCGAGCAGTAAACAGCATTTGCATTATTCGGCAATTGGCTTAAATATTACGCTTACAATTTTTATCCCATTTTCCCACCAAGTTTAGAAGATTTTGTAACCACAGATAACTTGGATATGTCAAATCCGTTAGTTTTTAGTTGGGGTTTGATAACTGCTCGTCTTGCGTATTAATTCTTGAGTTTTAATTAATTATTTATTTTCTTTCCATTTGGAAGGAACATTCTCTGGAATGAAGTCTAGACCGTCATCAATACGAGGCGTTTTGCCGTATTTCAACAGGATTAGTAAACAGGCTTCAATATGGCTAGTCGATTTTATACGAATCTGTTACGGAAACAGTGCAACATGTTGCTACAAGACTGGGTTGGTCCAGCGCCCAGTCGCACTCTTATTGGGGAAGTAATAGAATAGGTGGATGAGTTTTAGTATTTGGGTTGCTACATCTCACCGGGTGGACGCATCACGGATCAAGTGTCTGCTCGCATACAAAAGGCTCGGTTGGCATTTGCCAACTTGAGACATATGTGGCGAGACATCCGGTTGTCTGTGAAGGGTCAAGTGTATGCCGTGGCAGTTCGGCCAGTCCCGCTATACGGCGCAGAAACTTGTTCATTAAGAAAACAGGGTCTGAACATCACTGTCTACGCAGCATTGCACGAATCTGGTGGGGCAGCCGGACTAGGAATGCTGAGTGTAGGCGCAGAGTTTCGAGTAAGAGCGGCCCCTTACTGGATCAAGTGGTCGACCTCCATAGATTACGTTGGTTGCCAAGGCGAGCGATGTTCGCCGAGACAAGTAGTGGGTGGAAGAAAGGCAAGGGTGGTCGAGCTTCGACCTGGCACGAAGGTATGAAAACCCTGACCAGGGGACCGGATCACAGGTATTGTTAGGCTCCCTGGATGGGGACCTTGGGATGATCGTAACCGATGGTTATAGACACTGAATGATATGGCTGAGTGTCGTAAACAGTGGCATTATTGTATCTTCTCAATTTCTTTGCAATCTCAGACCCCTGAAATTCCCTTTTTTCTGTTTGACTCTACTTTAAACTCTCCTGTCTTCTCCCATTCTTCATCTAAATGGGCAGCCAAAAGACAGCAACCAAAACCGGTGCACGAGAGTGCATGGTTAATGATTGGACAAACTGAACTGAATGAAAACAGAATGGGAGTCACATTGGTTGGTTTATCCGTGAAGGTTAACGATACAATGATTACATGGCTTATCTATTCACAAGAAACTCTAGGAACGTACTCTATTCGGGTTTCATGGTTAATGCTTCTGGTCAGGAGGATTTTTCGAAAAATTCGGCTTAATAAGGTATACACTAAAAAGCATTGTGTTTATAGTTATTGCTGACTAGACAAGCAAAATTGATGATACGGACCCGATAAGGGAGGCTGTTCCGGACGGAGAAACCGGCTGGGGGCAAACGGTCGACAAGAAGTCGAAGCTCCGGAAGAAAGTGGTTCCGGCTGAAGCAAGAACCTGGACGCTCGGTTGGCGAAAGCCTTTATCGTCCTGTGCAATCTGACCTGAAACTCGCTGTAACTAAATAAATAGCGTGCGTCCATTAACTGAAACCCTGCCAACACACCAGCGCGTTTTTTCGTCGGAATATTGCTCTAAAAATCGCGTTTTTACAAAACAGTAAACTAAAGCGTCTTACGCATGATTTTCGGTCCTAGAAAAATAAGGGAATCCACACATGAAATCCGGAGGGACCTTTGTGTGATTTCACATGTGAAAACCAATCAAACTAAAATGAGAACGGTAATTATATTTATGAAATTTTATAAAATTTCATTTTAATGCAGACCATGAGTTTAGTTCAGAAGATAACAACATGTGAGAATGAACAACACCTGCCGATGAACAGAATATGAATTTACTTCCATCTGGTAAGTCATTGACTATTTCATATTTTACATGTTTAAGGCTTTACATACTTGGACTCAAGTACCGATGAACCAACAACTGAAGTTGCCGAAGTTATTCTTAATGCGGAAACAAGTTCCTCAAAATTTATTTGTAAATATCCCCTCATTTAGTACACCATTCAGACACCATACCGATTCGCCGTTCTTTGTTGGAAACATGCCGCTTGATCGCCGTGGATGATAAATTAAATTCGTGAGTTATTTATTAAACATCTAAGTAATTCTCTAAACCAATAGGTGAAAACATTTTTGCGATTCAGCTATATATATATATATATATATTCAGCTATAGGCTAACACGAGTTGTCAATGAAATGAACGCCAAAATCAACGGTTTGGTATATTCCAAGAATTCACCTGTTGGCGTCCGGCTTCCTATTACAAATATCGAGGACTTTCAAAAATTGTCGGAGGATTTGGAAGTCCCCACCAAATGCGAAGCATTTGTAAGCCATGTTTGATTTCAATTTAATGGTTGTGATCATGAAACACATACTAAACGAAATTATTCTAATCTAGGTGGAGTATCTAGTTGCAAGTGGCGGAGACAGTATGCGAGAATGCCTAAATGTTCTTGTTCGTCGGGTGTTCAGCCCGCAGGTGAGCAAGAGCATAAATTGGAAAGACATTAGAGGAAAGTGCTCTCTGGCAACCAGTAAAATACAGGACGCAGTAATGGATGAGCGTTAAATATTTATCCACTCTTGCTGATGACTTTGTTAATTTGTTTTGATTCCTATATGTATGAGCTTATGCTTGTAACAAACACTTTTTATAACTTACTGATTATCATTATGTTTTCTCATTTTGAAGATACCGTCTATAAACACCAGTTCATGGAATACAACCACCAAGAAGGAAGTCGGATGGTGAAGAAGTTTATTCAAAAGCACCGATGATTTCAAAGTGTGCCATAATTATCATGCTTATTTTTTGAGAATATATTTTACCTCAACTACCATGGCTATCTTATTATCCGTTACTACGGGAAAAAGAACTCTGTAAATAAGACGTACCATGTGGCTATAGTCAGAACCTACATGCTTTACGGCGTATTCTTTAAATTGTGGGTAGGAATTGTGTTGGGTATATTTCTGATACAATTGGAATTTATCAATGTAGGTTATATGCGTACTTAGAACGAGAATTGCTGATTAGATTAGTAATTTTAAGTAGAAATAAAAAATGGTCGCTTGGTGGGATACACAGTAACATACGAAGGCCTGTTGCAAACCGACGTTATTTGCGCGAAATTTCGCCCCAAAAGTACGCGTTGCATAGCGCGTTATTAAATGCTTTATTCTGACGTTATTGCTGACGAATTAACAAATTAATAAAAATGGTTACTATTTGACATTTTGTGTATTCCCATCCGGTATTAACAACTAACGGCTGAGTGTACCTCAGCACTGCCACATGTGCTGCGCAGCACATCATATGATATCATGTTCCGAAAGATATCTTTCGGAATTCCGAACCAAATGTACATACGAATGAAAGTGAGTATGAATTTAACTTCCATACCTTTAGTATAAAATAAAAGGGGAGATATGTAAGCAGCGAAAAGGTGCATCCTTCAACGAGTTGGACGAACGCAAATACAACCCAGTAAATCAGCCACTGAGTATCGTCCTCCTTCTGTTGTGTTTCAATCGCTTTTACACTGAAAACTAATTATGATATGAAATTAACATTACGATTGATAAGCCGGATAAACGAATCCCACTAAAAGGACCAGAATCTCCGCACCGTATCCAATCAGGACATAAATGAATAATAAAACCAAAGAACCTGTAGTGGTCTCGAAGAGAAGGAAACAAAACTGACGCACCATACGCTATAACATTTCGTTCAAGACCAGACTTTTGTTCGCAGTATGTCAATAGATCTGATAAATGGCCTGGTTTCCGCAGGGATCTCTCGAACTGGCGTCGGTACTCGACAAACATAACTCCCGGTATTACCTGGCGTAAGCAACGGCGGAACACTTAAACACCGCAAGGTCAGCTCAGGTTCAGTTCAGTTCACTTCAGTTGCACAGGACGAATATGGCTCCTGCCAATCGAGCGTCCAGTTCGTTGTGTTGTC